CGGATGAGTTCCTCTCGGTGCAGAACGCACGGGGACAGTGGGTGTGTAATGGTGTGTGTGTGTGTGTGTGTGTGTGTGTGTGTGTGTGTGTATGTCCGCGCGCTTGCGTTGGGGAGGGGGTTATCCCCACTCCCAGTACAGTGTGCTGCAGTTTTGATTTTCAAAGTAGTAAAGCAATTAGAGCGAAGGCAATGGGTTGTGAGAAAAGCAACCTCCCACCGCTTCCCATCTCTACCACCACCACCGCCAACACCAACAACAAACTGTGCAGCAATCACGCCTCTAGGTCTTTTGGTACACGCGTTTTAGGCTTCATCTACACGATACTGAACTTGAGATCTGCAGCGTCTGCATATGGGGGGTAAGGAGGCAGGTGAGACTCCAAGTGCTTTTCTGGCTCTATTTTCACCCACAGAGGCCGAACCACAGAGATGAGATTTGGGTAGGCGCTCTCTACCCAGGAGGTGATGAGAAAGGAAGGGGGCCAAGGCTACCACACTCTTCCACTCTTATTCCTTCCGAGACAGGCGGAAGAACCAAAGATTCTCTCTTCAAGTGGGATTCCAAGACGCAAGGTCCCGCCGAGCCGAACCGGAAGAAGCAAAGGAAGACGCAAGCTCCCACTCCAGTACGGAGCTAGCAGAGGTGAGGGATGCAAAAGGAAGGGTGGTCAGTCCCAGCCTTCCTAATATTGGCAGGCAAGGAGAATGAAGCTAAAGCTGCATTTCATGGAAGCATTTCAAAACTTAAATCTGAGCTGACAGTGTTCGTATTGCGGTGTCAATGCCTCGGCCTTGGCATGCCAGTCACCTCTAAGCTATCTGACAAACGCCAGCTCCTTTAAAACGTGCAAAGTTCAAATCGTATTAATTCCCCAAAAATGTTTTGATTCAAAGTAGTTTGTATTTTGTGTAGCCACGGGCAATCGGGAAAGCGCTCCTGCCAGCCAGTGGCCGGTCCTCTCCTCTCCGCTGGCCCAGAGGCTACGGCGGTATTTAAGCTTCTGAAATTAGCCTGGGGCTGCAAGACGGAATGATCACAAGGCGAAACAGGGCGCTTCCCCTCTTTACTTTTTTCATCTCCCCCTCCCCCCCTCTTTTAGTTTGCCATCCCGATTTCACAAAACAGACTGGGCCAAAATGTCATTTTCCACCTACAAGTGGAAAGACTGGATCTTCTCATCTCACGACTATACTCATCGGAAGGCCAAAGTCCCTACCCAAATGAACCCCTACTCTGAAATTTCAGTCTGGGTCCTTTCATTATTACCCTCCTCCTCCTCCTCCTCCTTCTCCTCCTTCTCTTTGTCATCATCAACATTGCTCACTTATTATTAAACACTCAGAGCAAAAAATGAAAGGGACCATCGTCTGACAACAGGGGAGGGGGCCACGGGGAAGCCTCAGAAGATTCACCGGGAAAAGAAGAGTGGGACTTTCTTTCTTTCTTTCTTTCTTTCTTTCTTTCTTTCTTTCTTTCTTTCTTTCTTTCTTTCTTTCTTTCTTTCCTTCCTTCCTCCCTCCCTCCCTCCCTCCCTCCCTTCTTTCTTTCTTTCTTTCTTTCTT